TGAATTTTCAGTCACAGGTCAGGTAGATTGAAAGGTTCAGGAAGCACTTGCATATTCATCTCATTAAGTAACCGAAATCATATCACATGGCTTGTCTAACTTACCACAGCTTAAAGATCCTGTCTCAACTAGTTGCAGTGAATTATTTAAAAATTTAGCAGTGAGATCAGATTGGCCACTAGGAAAAAGTTTCTCATCAGCAATGTAGCGCAGCCCTGGAACAGGTCATCCGTGGAGGCTTGGAATCTCTGCCCTTGGAGGTTTTCAAGATGCAGCTAGACAGAGCACTGGCTGGTTCAGTCTAGTGTTTCTAGTGTTGGCAGTAGCCAGAGGTCCCCGCCAGCTAACATTTCAGTGATTCTAATTCCAGAAAACTTTGGGAAATTATTTGAAGGAAAGCATTATTTCCAATGAGAGAAAAATCTAAATTCACCGTGTATTTGTTGTAAACTGCTCACTTTAATGTAAATCTATACTAATATTAATGAAAGACACTACTATGCATGCATGTTTGATCTGTCCATAAATTTGATATAAAAGTAAATGCTTAGATCTTCAAAAGCCTGACACCTGTAATCTGGAGAAATTTGGCTGAACAGCATACACCTATACTCCAGTGGGAGCTGCGCATGTATAAAGCCTTTGTAGGATTGAGACACTGGACTGATTGTCATCCATAATGGAGAGAAGCTATGTAAAATAATAGGGAAAGTAATTTTTTTTTTTTTTTAATCTAGCCTAGTCACCAATTTTATGTTTTAATTTACCTTTGAGTCAATAGAAACTAAATTCCAACTGATACAGGACTCTAAGCGGATGCTTTCTGTATGGCTTGATGGGGCTATTGTCTGCAGGGTAACAATCCGTTGGAAACCACCTTTCTGAAGCACTTTTGCATATTGCCGAGCTTTTGTGACTAGCCCAATGGAAATGATTTCAAGGCTTCTACGCTGCATTGTAATCATGACAGACCTACCTGGCAGACCAAAAAATCAGATCTCTCCAAACATCTGGACAGCAATCAAAGAACACTGTTAAGCAGTTGTTCCCATGCCCTTTCCCACTCATTTGCTGTTAAAGAAAGCATGCCAGAAAATTCTTTACATATGGGTTTATGTTTCAGGAGTTACAGTAAGCTCCTCCTTCAGAAAATATTGCTACAGTTGCTCATAATCCCGTCCAGGAGCCAAGGGCTGAATGGGTATGAAATCTAAACGTCTTTTCACATTTACTTACAGATCACTTACAGATCTTTTACTTCCTGTGCCAGTTCAATTTGGAGATGCTGAGGCATACAGAGAATTTGCTATCCCTTTTGTGCAGTTAAACACCAAGGCTCCATATTTATTTCATTTAGCATCTCTGTTTCTCAGAACCACAGAATAATTTTGGCTGGAAGAGGCCTTTGGAGGTCATTTGGTCCAACCTCCCTGCCCCACCAGCATGGCCAATTTTGAAGTTAGACCCAACTTCAAAGTCAGTTCACTTTTCTCAGGCCATTTCAAACCATTTTACAAGGTTAAACATTATCATCATTGTCTTCCTTTTAATTGATGAGTAAAGAATTCATAATGAAGGCAAAAAACTTTTCAATATCGTACAAGTTTGGAACAGAAGATTGACTTTCAGCTTCCCTGAAAGGTAATTGAAGTATTGCTGTCAATCTGAATGTGGCCAGGATATTACTCCAGATCTGATATCTCCAAGTTTCGTACTCCTTTTATTAGGCTATAACAAAAGAACTTCAGTGATCAGGACATTCAGCCCATGGGGGTTTTTAATAATAATGTAGTAAAGGTAAAAGGGGGTATGTGTGTTTTCTTTTCTTTTTTTTTTTTGGTCTTTGTTTGTCTTGATTGATGAAACTGGGTAGTGTGTATAGTAAGAATGAAATTGTCACTACAGATTTGTCCATTGCAAGCACAGTGCATTTAATAAGTTTCTTTGGTGTTCTATTTTCCAGTTTTGTTTGTTTGATTAAAAAAAGAAACAAACAAAATAATCACAATACTGAACTTGCATAACAATGAATGTCCATCTTTATAACTTTTTTTCTCCACCCACTTACATTTATGAGACATTATCCTTGTATGGAACCTACAAACAAGAACCTCTATAAATATGCCTGCCAGGATTAAAGGCACAGGTGAGCAATAACTCTTTATTTCAGCAAGATCTTGGTTACAAATTAACTTTGCTAATGCTCAGTGTACAAGGGCTTGTCCCATGTTTCAGGAAGTGAATCCTGTTGCTGTTCTATGGAGAAATGCGATGTCATTCCTTTAAATTTTTGAGATCAATAACATTGCAGAGGCTGGTATAGTTAAGGATTGCATGCAGAGAGATGGAGGTTTGTGGACAGAAGGTGAATGGGAAAACAAGTGCATAATCTGATACTTGAAAATGTTTGAAATCCCAGGAAGGCCAGTGTTCATTTAAATTTTTCTTTTAAACATTTTCGAGTATGTTTGGAGTCAGTTTAGCTGGAATAGTTTAGATAAGTTAGTAACAGTAGAAAGAGATGAGTCAAGATAGTCTAACAACAGAAACCAGAAAGGTTTTCTAGGAAGAGATACTACATTTTGTTAGATGAGCTAATATAATTGTGAAAAGCATACAAGCTTTTGGGCTCACTAGCCTTTGATACCATGCATAGATTTCAAAGAAGTTTTCAAGGGTCTTTGGCATTGATATGAGTAGGACTTCTTTAATTTGACATGTTGCTGTAAGTGAATTACAATACTTTTTTTCTTAGTAGATCGTAAAAGACAATTACATAGGTATTGGCATTCTCTGTGCCAGTTCACTGAAGCCTGTGAGCATATATGTCCAGCTGGCCAAGAATATATCATGTGTATGATCTTCTATAGGAATCTGCTAATTATAGTTCCATTTTGGGTGAAGTAGTTACATGTTAGGCCTATGAAATGGCACCCTCATGAAGGCAGCTAAATTGTAGCAGACCGGTACTTTTTTCTGTGAAAGTAGCTACAGGTAACACCGGTGTTTACATTTATGTGTACAGACACTGCCTCCCCCCAAACACCCCCATGATATATGTGTATTTGGGAGGGGAGGAATAGGTTGGGATAAGTGGAACAGTTCTCGCACTGCATTTTTCTCAATGTATTTTTATGGTTCTTATTACAGACTTAAGGGATAAGAATCACCCCATACACAAGGAACAGGCTGTTATGCTGCTTCATTACCAGTATATCCAAAGGATATAACTAACAAAAAGGAATACGAATGGGGTTTTATTCTACCAAGGACTTCTAGACATGTATTGACAGAGGAAAATAAGGCTGTTGCATAAATTCAGCAGTGCCAGCAAATATACTGCTGAAAGCATTTTGAATATGTAAATATATATATATGTTACAGATTAAAGTTTTCATCTTGGAGTGTTTGGGAATCTTCCCTTTCTATAACACTGATCTATCTGTCTTCAGGACTGCTTTTCAGGCAGCTGCACATGTGAGCAGCAGAGACAACAGCTGAGAGGCGTTTAACAACTACCCTGTAATGTGCAGTGAGATACACCTGTGCACTGCGAAGTTCTCTGCGTGGCCTCTGCCAGGTAAATACTTGCAGTACATGAATTCTAAGATAATTCACAGGAGACAGCATCCTTGAACTGTAGTTTACTTTTCTTGAAATAAATGGAAATAGTCTTGGTGATGGTGTTAGCATGTGAATTGGTGTTTGCTGAAGGAGGTCCATAATAACTGCTATAATTAACTAATTAGAAAATTAGCATGTTAAAAGAAGAAGAGAAAAAGTGATGTTAATATTTAAACCCATCGGATAATCACAGTTAAATGTCCAGCTCTGCATTTTCCCATGATAGACATCAGCAGCTAAATAGCAGCACCATTTCTTATTCAGTGAAAATTGTATTTCAGCACAACACTAATATTGAAGTACAAACTGAAGACTTAATGAAGCAAAAGAAAAATTACGACAAGTCTAACTTGCAGCCTTTGGCCTTTAAAAATAATTAGTAACTCATCAGTGGTGGCAATGGGAAAAATAATAACATGGTCAAAACTGTTTAGAGGCTTTTTGATTTTCATTTTTGCTTTAAAATAAATTTGAGTTTGCCAATGTCCCCCAAAATTATCTCAGTCCCCAATGTTACAAATACTACTGCTCCCATCGAGCAGAAATGCTTAGAGGAATAGTTTTAGAGCAGCTAAACTAGGTGGTGTTTTCCCATTGTAGAGTTCTCACCTGTGAAACAGAAGAGGAAAAACAGAAAAGCTGTCAATCTTGGACTGCAGTTAATGCCCAGGAGATAGTTCTTTGGAGAGCAGTTATAGGGTAGAAAATAAAAAAAAAAAGGCTTTATGTTACTATTTTGCAAAACATCCTAGATACACCCTTTCTCAAAAACAAAAATTATTTTACTAGGACCCACCTTTGCAAACCATGTGGAGAGTAGGGCCTAAAATGCAAAGTACTTTCTGCCTGTAATACCCCTTAAAAATTCCTGTGTAATACTGCACTTTTTTTATACATTAACGTTGGCATCGGTAGCTCAAGAGGTACGGAGCAACGTGCACAAGAGGCAATTAATGAGAAGCAGGTGAAAACTTTTGTGCCTTTCAAAGCTAAGTCACAGATTGTGTTTTAGCAACTGTATGCGTCTGAACGCCCAGATCCCCCCGAAGGGCGGGCGAGGGGCCGCGGGCGGGCGCGCCTCTCCGCGGGCGCGCAGCCGGAGCGCGCATTGCCCGCGCCCAGAGCCGGCCGGGAT